TGTCCATTGATGAAATGTTGCTGGGTCTAGTCTTGTGGAAAACCACAGCTTCAATAATCCCATGAACACAATGGCCATGTCATAGTGTTTGAGGTTTATTCTTTAGGAGAAAAAAAAAACTCATTGTAAAGTTCCAGGAGAATTAAATCTTGGGGGAGCTCTAAGTTTGTAAGTACTGAAGGGAAACTGAACCTCTAGAACATGGCTATGAGAAGAGTATCAGATAAATTGCAGTTATGCCAGACTCTAATCTGATCAGATGCATCAATAAGGGCTTTGGGAGAAATGTGTAAAGTAAATTAGATGTCAAAAAAGGCCCACATGATTCCTGGAAGACAGCAGCCCTGCAAAAGGACGAGGCCTTTCGTGGAAGAGAAACAAGAGCATCGTTGCTGGTCCAAGGCCCACGATGCTCTGCCTCAGCCTCCTGTTCTTCGTCTTGCCAGATGATCTTTTTTTTTTTTTTCTCATGTGAGTACTTTAATAGTAGACATATGAGATCTCAATCAAAATATAGAAATCACACAGAAAAGGCGTCCATAGCAAGAAATATTCAAACTCGGGCTGAAAGCAGTAAAATAGAAATAACCACAAAATAGAAAATATAAGATTTGATGAAACCAAGTGGTGCTTCCACATGAAAATCAATAAAACTGGAAAATGCCTAACCAACTGAATGAAAATTGCCAGATGATCTTATGCTCTGATAAGGTCAATCTGACCATGGCTGTTTTAAAACCTACCTTAGAAGAAAACATGGGGATACGTAGGTTCCCCACTTCATTTCAGCCCCATCAAAAATGGGAGTACTATGAGCCCAAATACAGCTGGCATATGCTTTTGACCTGGTCAGTACACTTGTTATTAGTTACATTGACTAAACAATTGTTAAACTAGGAACAGGACAAATAGTGGCATGAATATAGATTATTTTACAGTGAACTTAAACTAAAAGAAATATGACTAGATAACTGGGTAGAATTAAGACAAGGAAAGTAAATTGATCCAATAAAATACCATGTACACTAAAATCAATTTAATCCATAAAAATAATTTCCTTTTTAATATTCATTATTTAGTTCAGAACTATAAATAAATTTTATAACACTCTTTAATTATGAGTTTTGGATCCTAACTGTCTTAGCATATTTTTATTTGTCATTCTCGTTTTCAGCATTCCTTACTGACTTGGACTTGAGTCACTTTTTAATTACTTTTTCAAACTCCAAATACTACTGAAGAGTTAATCATATATGTTTTTATAACAAGAATATTATATATTGCTGAGAAGCATCCATTGTGATATGAATGTGTATATATTTATATGTGAGTGTATACATTGTATGTGTGTATATCATATTGCTGAGAATTATCCATTGTGAAATATATGTGTATATGTGTTTGTGAGTGTATGTTTGTGTGGTGTATATATATACACACACCTACATATACAACAACACACATCTACTATGAAGCCATAGTTGTCCTGACTTTATATCTGTGAGACCTGTGACCGTTCTCGTAACACTTCTCGGGCTTTTTTTTCATCCCAAATATGGAAAGTAGCATGTTTAATATAAACTTCAGTAGTAGTTATAAACTAAATGGGATGTAAATTAATAGCCCATACTAATGAATATATTATTGCTTTAAAATTATTGACTGGTTTTCAGATATAAATATTAAGCACATACAAATATCAATTGTAACTTTACCATCCTTTGTAGGGAGCAGAGGAATCCCTAAGTGTATGAACCCCTGGATAGATGTGCATTGGTGACATGAGCCAGCCTTGTCAAGGACCAAAGACTCATTAGAAATCAGTAAAGCCCGCCCCCAGGGTGAGGCATAGAGGAGTGGCAAAGCCTTCCTTTAGTCCTGGAGCAAATGCGGATATTGTGAGCACAAGATGTCCACTATAGCTTTTTCTCCCCAGATATTTATGGTCTGAACACTGCTGTTCTTCAGAAACTTACTTCCATGATTAGCTAAATTTACCTTCTTGCCTTAACCGTTCAGTGGCCATGTATCTGTCATTTCTTTCTTCCTTACCCATTAACCTGGTAAGTTAATGCTTAGAGCTGTGTAAGGGCATGACAGTACATAGTATATTAAGCCATGGAACTTTAGGATGTTAACTATATGAGATACTAGACTCTTTATCACTTACGTTGAACTATTAAAACATTCACAAGTTGTTCCAAACTGAAATGAGACAGCATTATTTCTTTCTAATAGACTGGTTATAGATACAAAATTGATCTTAAGTGTGATTGTCCAAAGGGATTGCTTGGATGTGTAAGTACCCACAGTTCATCAAGAGTATGTTGAAACTTTGAGATTGTAGGGCCTTGTCATTTCTTAGAGAGTCAGGGTCCCATTGAGAAACTCATGAAAGCTAAGGATCATTCCCTAAAACAGTACTCCTGAGTTATCTGAACATAATTTTACAGGGAGTTTGTGTGTATGGATTTCAGTTGAATACCATTATGTCCAGCTTAGGTGGGCATGTAGAACTTCAGTGATATGTCTTTTTCCTTTTCTGATTTCGGGAATTCCCAGCCCACTGCTATGTTATAAATTACATTCTATAACTTGTTTTCCTGCTCAGTTGTGCTACACCCATTCCGTGCTTCACTATAGTTTATCTAAAATCTGTTTCTTAAACATTCCTGATCTGGTCTCCTAGGCAGTAGTTTCCACTTCGACTTCCAGTGTCTTTGCAGTGCCCACATAGCATTGTGGAAGTGAAAGGGGGAGGGAGGGAGGGAGACTACAACAGGCCAGCAACACACACAAGAGTGGCTTTGAACAGAAATGGCAGCCACACAAAGTCCCTCCACTGCTGAATGTTTTGACGCCATGTTGAAACAGAAGTAAATTGATTTATTAAGACTCTTTTTATTGATTCACTGCTATCTAAAGAATCAAAATATTTGAGATTCTTTGATGTGGAGTTCATCACAAATGAATCTTTAAGATTCACAAATTGCTCTTTAAGATCTTTAGGAATTTGGCCAGTCTAGCCTTCTAAATATGAATTATCAAATTGATTTTTAAACCCAGTGTTTTATAGGACTATTTGTCTGACTCATGTGGACTGGAATATGATGTAAAGAGCAGTTGTCCAGGACACAGCAAGTGTGGAAAGCATCCGTCAGCTGGATGAGCCCAGCATGTTCATCTAGCAGCTTTACGTCCAGCCTGTTCATAGAGTCTTAATCCCCAGACAGTTAGCCTTTGCACCAAGTCTTTTGCCTGTTTGCCTCTTAATTTTATTTCATTTCAAAACTGGCTGTCAAGATTTAATGTCTTCAGATAACTAAGTAAATATGTGTATGTTGGCAACAACCACAATAAAGCCCAGATCAAAAATTTTTAGAATACAAGACAATGTTTTTCTTAAATTGTAACTTTATCAATTGTCTGTCCCTCTCTATGTTTTCATGTTTAGGAAATGAATATAACAACATGAAATTTCTTCCTTATCCAGATGGGTTTACTGTTGTGAGACTTTTTTAAACTATCTGATACTGATGTATTGTTTTATATTCTATTGTCAATTGTGGTCCAATTAGAAAACTATTTTTTAAAAAGTTAAAGAAAGTAAATACCCATTAGTATGAAACGTTTAACTGGAGTGTTATATGCCTTAAACATTATAGATATTGATAGTGCAGGGGTGTGTTTTTCTGTAAGTCTTTGGTATTGTATATCAATATTAATTGTAGTAGCCCATTATTATATGAGCAGAAAATACAGGCACACCAAAATACAAAGTTACAGGTGCAAAAATGCTGCCAAGGCCACATTAGCAGTGAGTTGATTGCTTTTATATAGTACTCATTAATAGATATGAAAATACAGTTTAATCTGAGAGGAAAATTGATTTTGAGATACTTAGTTCAGAATATCTTAGACAGAGTATCATCTGTCTAGACATGTGGCTTACGGTATTCTCTGCATAAGCTGTCTCCCATTTGCAGTTCTCCCTTTTGTTGAGTACACTATTATGTTTCTGATGGACAATTCATAGGAATTAACTACAAATGGTAGAGAACAGAAAATACCCTTTTTCTTCAGTATAGGGTCACTGTTGGAAAGAAGTACAGCATTGTGACATAACAAGGGCTTTATTTTTTTATTTTTTATATATTAATATGCCATATCAGGGTATCTAGTATTCACAGATTGAAATGGCTTTTGCTTCTTTTAATATACAATTTTTACTTTTCCATTTCCTTACCTGGCTGGCCACTGAGAAAGTAGTCAGTATCTTCAGGCCAAGCAAACTCCTTCTTTTCAGAAGATAGTAAATTTTGTAGATGTAGCATTGTATAGAGAGCAATTAAAATGTAATAGCTTGCCAACATAAAGAATCTTATCAGAGAGCAAAATAGTATCGAGAGGGGGGAGAGGAGGAGGAGGGGGAGGGGGGGGGGGAGGGGAGGAGAGAGAGAGAGAGAGAGAGAGAGAGAGAGAGAGAGAGAGAGAGAGAGAGAGAGAGAGAGAACACACCAAGGAATTGCATGAACATGGTAAAGAGCAGGCTAGTTAAATTGGAGAACTAAAGCAAGATGCCTTTCTTCACCAGTGTGCCACCGCCTGAAAATTAGAAGACAGTCCTGAGTAGCTAACAGTGAGCCCCAGGTGCTAACTTTCCTGAAGCACTGAAATAGGAAGTGATGGAAGAAATTTATAAAAGAAACCCTCAGGGATTCCCCTGTGATCCCTTTAATCCTTGAATTGTCAAGCCACATGGAAAATAATAGAGCTGCGTCGTTCCAAGACTTAAGTGGTATTAGCTTTTTGAAAGAAAATGTTGGCCTTTTCATATCCATGGACAAGAATAGAATATATATTCAAATAGAAAGGAGTAACTTGGAGCCAAAGATGAGTGTCTTTTTTTTCATTTCTAATATAGTATTGTCTATGACTAAGCAGGCTGTATCAGGAAGAAAAATTAGAGTCAATGTTTTATTTTGTTCTTTTTAAAACAGATGATTCAACGAGAAGCAGATGTGAAAAGTAAGGTGACTGCTGTGGCGTTGACAGACTCTGTTCATAATGTGTGGCATCAAGAAGCTGGCAAAACCATCCGAGAATGGATGAGAGAGGTGAGGCATGGCTTGGTTTGGTGCTGAGATGAATGGGCATGAGCCTTTTTATTTGGAGACCCCAGTAACTTGTATTGCCCCCCAGCCTGCATTCTCTAGAGACAGAACACTCACATAGAATGAAAAGTCTAGATACAGTTAAAATAAAAATAGAAACCTTCTTCAGAAGAAGAATACTTGTGAAAGCATCCTTTCCTCCATTATTGAATAGAATATTATGTATGTATACAATATGCATTAGAATTTTAGCTCAATAAGGGCTTGATATTACAATTCATATTCCCTAATGTTCAAGTTTTCTGGCTATTTATTATTGTAGCTGCTTAATTACAAGAAAGAAGTTTCATATACACTCAGTCTTGCTTCTTTTTTTCTGGAAGTATGACCAGGATATGCCACTATGAAAGTGATTGGCTCAATATTGCCATAGAGCTGGAAGTGGTAACAAGGCCTTAAAGTTGCTTGATCTGGCCATGGCCCCACTTCCCTCTTGGGAAACTGCTTATCGCATGTCCCTGGTGAGTCTGAAAACTAACCAGGATCTATTCCTCAACATGGCCCATGTCTTTTTCTTCAATCATCCCGTTGATCCTATTAGAGACATCCAGTTGAAAATCCTTTTATTTACATTGCCTTTCTGAGACCATAGGAAGTTGACATGGCCACATGGTAGAATACCTACAGTGATCATATAAGTAAGTAATCACTCAGTTATGGTACTTACTATTGGGTATTCTTTTTCTATTAGAAGTTCTGTATGAGCATCAATCTAAGGGACAAATAAGCACATACATCCACACACGGAGACATACACATACCTGTGTACACACATATACATTCACATAAACCTACACACCAGAAAGTTAAAATATTTGGAAATATTTTTCCTCCTAAGAAAGACTTTTAGTGAGCAGGAATATTGTCCATGAACAGTCCAGTTATAGAAGAGGGTGCTTCTGTGTTCATAGCCTGTTGATTAGCTTCATTAGTATACCAAATATTGCCTTAAATTTGGAAGTAAAATAGTGCTGGCAAGAGCTTAGTCATTCCTATTTTATTAAATACTGGTTATGTCATAGGTTTAATTTAATGTGATAAAGGTGTTTGTATTATACCCTTTTTCTAGAAACCTCTTAAATATTTTAAGCCTATAAATTTGGCAAACAGAATAGACTAAGAATTAAATTTGTATATTATATAATTATAAAATAACATTTTCTCATGAAGAAGCCTCATAGAAGACTACATTAGTAGTCCCCTAAAAGGAAACCTACCCTCCACTAAAGGGCTCTTGCCATACCATGTCCCAGTGCTGTTTATGCTGATTGTATGACATGTCTTGGCCATAGCCCTGACCTGAAGTCTGTAGCACCCTTCTTGTCACTCTTTGACCCTTAATGTAGGCCCTAGAAACATGGCCTGGTCATATCTGAGGAACAAAAGCTCCAGCTAAGATTAGCCTTTAATGCCGTAATTATTTTCAACTTATATGAGTGTAATAAATGTGAGGAAAAACATAGACTCAAGCAGTAAAGGAAGCTTCTCTAATATCTTGCACAAAGTTAGCTATTATCTTCTTTTTTTCTTCAGATATACCACATTTTACACTCTTCTTAATAACATTTTACTAATTGGTTTAGAATTTTATAGAATAAATATATGTTGATCGTGTTCTCTTACACACATGTACAAGTCTTCCTTTCCACTTGCCTATCTCTTTTGGGGTGGAGAGATAACCAGTAAGAGAAGCTCACAACTAGCTGTGGTTTCAGCTCCATCCAATAGATCTGGGGCTTTCTTCTGGCCTCTGTGGGAACCTGCACACACAGGACATACATATTAAAGGTTTTTTTTTAAAAGATTATTTATTTATTTATTTATTTATTTATTTACTGTATATGCATACACTCTAGCTGTCTTCAGATACAAGAATAGGGCTTTGGATCCTATTACAGGTGGATGTGAGCCCCTGTGTGGTTGCTGGGAATTGAACTCAAGACCTCTGGAAGAGCAGTCAATGTTTTTAACCACTGAGCCATTTCTCCAGCCCCACATTAAAACTTTAACTTAGAAATTTATTTCATGATAATATGGTTCAGTGACCCTGACATCAATCACTAGATTTCATAGTAGAAGGAAAGAACCAACTCTTGGAAGCCCTCTCGTGCCCAGTGTGACAGATTTGCACACACACACACACACATGCATGCACACACAATAAACTAAGAATTAAGTAAGATAGAAACAGAAAGGAGTTTCATGTCTACTCCAGTGTTATCCAACCTAGGCACAGGACAAAGCGTGTGCCCATGAGGCAGCCACTTCCTGTTCCTGGGACTAATCCTCAAAGTATAAGTTTTACAAAGAAAAATTTACAACTCAAAACTACAAGATATTAATACCTTTTACACTGAAACTCTTTTTTTAGTTTTTTTCGAGACAGGGTTTCTCTGTGTAGCCCTGGCTGTCCTGGAACTCACTCTGTAGACGAGCCTGGCCTCGTACTCAGAAATCCACCTGCCTCTGCCTCCCAAGTGCTGGGATTAAAGGCGTGCACCACCACTGCCTGGCTACTTTGAAACTCTTAACTTTAGTAAACATTTATTTATTTTTTCCTTTAGACATGGAGATATGCTAGGTAAGTGATCCATTCCAATACTCTGGCTCTCGCCGAGGATGGCTGTCTTCACATGTGCTTTGTGACAAACGAGAGCTGCACTGCAGTCTCCCAGGAGCACTCCTGGGACCTGTGCTATAACTTACGTTCTTGACTACTCTGTACATTAAAGACTAAGATTCAGGAAATTAACAACACATCACTATGTTTGAAATTCAGCTAGGTTTCATAATGTGTAGCCACCCAGGATTCCCCATGCCATGTGAAGGAAATAAGGGGACAATTGGGAAAATAACGAGAGTCAAGCATTAGAACAATTTGGAAACAAATTTGGTTTTGAAATGGTAGAAACACATCTCAGGAAAGTACATGTGAGAAGGTGAGGTGTCACACAAATTAAATATATAAGAAACCTCTGTATGTCACTATTTACATATTGCAACACTTACCCCACTTTATTTCACCTTTTGTAATAGCAAACATTTTTAATTTGTACCTGCTTTCGCTTTACTCTTTCCAGTGGAACTACAGTGCTACGTGCAGAGGTGTGCACGCACCGTGCACATGCACCATGTGCAGAGATGTGCACACACATGCTCCCTGCTCCTTCCTGCCCACCCCCTAACCCTTCAGGCTCGGTTTCTGTCCTTTCCAGTCCTAAACATGGATTGCACAAGATGTTTGACATCTTCACTTTAACTACATGCTGTTTCTCTTGTCCCTGATTTTTTGCATGTGAGATCAAAGTTTTCAGCATGTTCTCAAAGGAGAACTAAAATTTCAGAATCATAAAATAGTACACTATATTTTTCTTTCAGTTTTTGAACCAAAGGTGATCTGCTATTTTTTTTAAATGGACATAAAGTTCATTTGGTTCAGCTTTTAAAAGTCAAGATGAGTTAGAAAAATGATTAATTGCTTATAGATTATAATGTGCTATCACTTTTATTAGTACTAGAATATTCTGTAAGACATAGTTTTACATGTGTACAATGTAGGTGCTCAGTATTAAGGCTGACTTGTCACCTGGGTAATAGCCAACTTTCATCAGATTTGGAGGCACTAGTAGGATGGATAATAATGAAAGTATAGACCTAACCACTGCCTGTCTGTTGGTAGTGCTAATTGCTGTCATTGAAAAGACTGAATTGTTTAAGAAAAGGGGAGAGAAAGAGAAAGTCATTCTTCATTGACGCTATCTCCCTGTATCATGGGGGGCCTATTTTTAGTACCTATAGAAGTCATGATTTTTTAATTTATTAGGGGCTGTGATGAATGATAAAACAAATCATCCATTTACATATCTTGACACTGCTTTGGAGAATACTTATTTCTTACAAGCGAGTGTCACATTGTATATAAAAGCTGGCTAATTGTGTGCTAATCTTCTGCATTATCTAGAATCCTCTGATGTGGTCTTCTATCAATGGTAATATTAATTGTACTTATTTCAAATGTATGAAGTATCTTCTAAATCCTTATTTCTTTTATAATTTCTACTCCTCGTACATTGTCTAATTTTACATTCAGCTGCTAATTAAGATTAGGAGTACACATTATAGAATATATATCCATTCCAAACTGTCAAGCTTTTGTCACACATGAAAAATACTAATATTTTATCTGTTTTAAATATAAAAAGAATGAAAGCATTTAAGAACATTACTAGATGTGTTTGTTTTCATGGTTTTTTTTTCCAACACAGTTCAATAGCTTCATTGATCCACTGTTTCTTACAAAAATCTGCCGTGCTTTGTGAGCCTCACTTTCTAATCTCATACAGCAACCCTTCCTTTATATTATCGCTGCTCTCTCTGGTCCCAGAACAGTAGGGTTGCCTTGACAAATCTATTCAAAAGCCATTCCTCGGCCTTTATTGGTGGGGACTGGGGCCTTTGAAATTCTCTCCTCACTGCAGCACAGCTGACATCTTCTTCCAGACAGAATGAATTAAGGAAATACAATAAGACACTTGATCTACCAGTCAAGGACCCTTCCTCAGTGAGAACGGACTCCATGGTGCACAGCCAGGGCAGCAAGCATCTAAAATGCACAAGACATACTGTTTACCAGAATAGCAGTAGCCGATTTTTCTGACATGATTGATGGGAGAATTTCTTTTAAAATAAACTCTGTCTGTGGAAATTCTTTGTGTATATGTGTGTGTGTGTGTGTGTGTGTGTGTGTGTATGTGTGTGTGTGTTGTGCATATTTCTAAAACTATATAATCACATCTTTGAACCAGTATTAGGTATATATTTAAGTGTATGAAAGAAATATAATGTTATTTCATTTATCTGAGTTGCAAGTCACTATCATCTGCAAGACTGAGTATTAATGTTGAAGTTTTGTGTCCTCAGATGCAGCTACAGTTCCTCAGGCTGTATTGATATGTAATTCTGATATGGCATTCATTGAAGTGGGTCAGAGTAATAACTGAAAAAGATTACAAGCCAGATTTGAGATCTTTACACCTAACTTTTCTTAGAAATATATTACACCATACTTTACAGGTTATGTGTCTTAGCATCAACACAGATTATTTGCTGATTTATAAAAGGTAAATTTTTCTACAGTCATTAATAATTACTAACTGTTTATATAAGTAAAATAATTTAAGATGTATAAAACATAAATATACTACTGATTTATTTTATAGGACAAATTTACCTCTTCAACCTAAAAATGTAGTTTTCCCTTTAATTATATGTAATCAACATTGTGTCTGTTACATTGCAGAACTGTTGCAACTGGGTCTCCAGCTCAGAACCATTAGATGCATCAGTGGAGTCCATGCTGCCTGACTGTCCCAGAGTCTCTGCAGGTACATGTTTGACAAACAGGAGTATACAGAAAAGGCATACCAGTGAAGTAGAGAATTCTGTTTCATGAATTAAATACATTATTGCTCTATCTCAAATTATTTATAATATATTCCATGTTTAAAACAGTAGCAAAACTTGGTTAAGTGGCTTAAAATGCTTACCAACAGACTCAGTAAGATTATTGGTGAAACACGTCAAGAATAATGTAGAGAGTTTCTGTTGGAGCTTAGGGAGATGAAACTGTGCTAAAAAACAAGAACTTAGTAGCCATGTAGAATCTCTGAAAAATGCTTGTCTCTGCATACCATTCCTATAATGTCAGGTAGGCATATGAGCTAGAGAAAATGTGTTTTCATGCAAAGATTTTCAGTGGACCTCGTGTGTGAATCCTATTGGATTTGGATGTAAGAAGTTATGCAAGGTTGCATCCTAAGGGGGAAAAAAACAGAAAATAAAACCTGCATTAGAAGGAAGAGAGCCAAAATGGATCTAAAGACATTTAGCGATAGTAAAGGCAAGCATGTTCGGCCCATTGAAATAAGTGAGATGGTAATGCATCCAGAAGCAGCTAGACTCTGGGACATGGTAGGATGGTGTTAATGTCTTCCTTAAGAGTTTGTATCTGACTGTCTAGGTAGAAATTGGCATTACATCTGTCCTTGCTTTCTTATTTTGGCTTTTACAGCTCCTAATAGTTCTTTCTGATAGCCCAGTGAGCAGGACTGTCTAGTGACAGCTAGTAGCAGCAGGTGACTTGCTGTGCCTGTGACCGCTGGAAAATAAGCAGTAATTTGGAACACTGACTATTCCATGTCTCAGTCATAGACGACAGCTAATCACCAAGTCAATGTGTTTATTGTTTGAAGGAAACCATTTGGTGGCTGGTTCAAATTTAGTTACTACTGATAGCTAAATATCACTCTCATTAACACATAAACTTTAACTGAACTTCACTGTTATTACAACTAAACTTTTTGTTTGTCAGCCAAGGTCTAATCAAAGAAATAGAACTGCCAAGGGGGATGCTACAATATATTTGCATGTGTATATTTTTCAACCTGTTTTGTTGCTCATGGTGGTTATATGCTAAGAAATCACAGACCTAGCAAATGCTCAGTACCCGCGGGGAAATGCAGAGTTAGTTTCCTGAGAGCCTCTAGCCATGTCTGTTAGCAACCAGTCTAAACAAATTCCTTGTTTTATACGTGTTTCTACTTAAATATATATCATATCACATGTGTTGTTCAAATCCATGCCCAACAATACAGTAATTCATCCCTGTACAAATGACTTACACATACATTTCTTCATAGCATGCATTACAGCTGTCTTGGATGAAAGAATATTAATTCGTCAGTCCTACAACACCATATTTGAATCATTTGTATCATTTAAAATGTGAAATCAAAACACAAAAATGTGAAAAACATGATACTAAACAGTCCATGAAAAGTCACTTGTTTACAGTATTAAAATGGAAACAAGAAGACAGAGCAGGATCTTGTTGAAACATATGGATGATGATGCAAACTTTTGTAACTCTGTGTATGTATGTAATAACTACAAAGGTAGGATAAATGTTGATTTGATTTGGGGTTATAAATAAGTTGTAGTGAGCAGATGAATTCAAAAGTCTAGGATACAGAAAGAATTAAGACAGATTATTTTATCAATATAGATGACAGAATTTTTTTTCTTTACTGATATTTGTCGAGAGCTAAACACTCTTTTCAAGGACAATAATTTGCAATTGATCGTGGTACCTTAGGACCCAGAACAGACAAACTTAATGGAGATTTGGTAATAAAGTAGAAAAGAACAAAAATGAGCTAGAACTCATAAGAGCTAGCTTACACAAAGATGGACCATCTCACTGCATATTGCCTGTGTTGTCTGTGTTACACATGTCCTATAGAATTTCATGTCCCTTGTTATGGACTTAAGTACACACATACTTGTTCCCATAGATAGAGATGCTAAAGGAAAAACTCAGGCAAGGAAGAACAAAAGCTCTTAGCTACTGCTTCACTCTACAAGATGTGTCCAGATATTGTATGCTAGGAATGGCTGCTGCTCTGCAGAATATGGGTCCATGACTTATCCTACCCCAAACACACACAGACACACACACACACACACACACACACACACTCCCTTGTATGCCTTCTTAATGAGAACTATGGGAAAAAAGAATTTTGTAAACTATCATTAAGCTTAGGCAAATTTACAGTTTTACACTCATTTTCATCTCCTTAATATATAGTTTAACCTAGTAGAAGGATCACATCTGTAACCCTGATGCTTGACTTAGATAGGAGGATTATCACAAGTTCAAGGACAGTATAGATTAGTCCTTAAGTAAGAAAGTGAGTTCTAGGTCAGCCTGAGTCCTATATACAGATATATGTATGCATGTGATATATATCCATATCACAATAAAGAAGAAATATCAGTAGCTTCTTAAGTCTTTGAAACTGTTCATGTAATTATAGCTGGTATTTACAGCCACCTTCTTCTATGTATTCAGTGCCCTACCTGAAGGCTTTCAGCTGCTTAGTATTCTTCACCTAGTTAAATAGTGCACCCCCTTTGTTCCTGGAAGGTCTCCTGCCTAAATTACAGTTTTATAATCTCCTTTTGAATATAATTGCAGGAAGTACTAACAGTCTAGAGAATTTCGGGATTGTTGATTGTCTTACTTATTTGTCTATTGCTTTGATGAAACTCCACGACAAAGGCAACTTACACAAGAAATTGTTTATTTACAGTTTTAAGTTACAGAGGGTTAATGCCCATGATGGTGGAGCAGAGGCATGGTTGCAGAACAGCTTAAATCTTTCATCTTAATGCTCAAGTAGGAGGCTAGGAGGCACACAGAAGTAGAAAGAGGGTGAAAGTCATTTGAAATTTCAAAGCCCACCCCACAGTGACACATATCCTCCAACAAAGCCATACTCCCTAATCCTTCCCAAACAGTTCCACCAACTTGGAAACAGCTATTCAGACATATGAGCCTGTGGAGACCATTCTCATTCGGATCACCAAACAGATGAATTCTTCTTTACCTATCATATAGAAGCAACTCAGTTTTCACTTGGAAATAAGGATCTGCCATCCACATAGAAGAGTAACAAGTATTTCCTGTTGCTTCAGAAATATCAGGAAATCAAAGTGGAAAGATGGTAGTCTCGATTTTCATTTCTATGGCATCCTTATTATAGTACCAAGAAAATATTCCTTCTTGTGGAACCAAGACTTTAGACCAGAAGAACCTGGAGTCACTACCAGAAGAATGGGAAGTAGCGGTTTTATTAGTAAATCATTAGGGGTAAAAGAAAGGTTAGTACGTCTTCTATCCCTCATTCACAGATAAAAGTAAATAGCTCTGTCTACTAAACACTGGTCTAGAGGACACACAATTTCAGCTCCACCAGGTGCTGTCACCAGCAGGCATCATAACTGAATTTTCAAAAGGTATTCTCACTGTTTTATCAAGCTTGCTGCTGAGGGACAGTACGGAACACGGTAAGGCAATGGAGTGCTGGCAGACCTCAGGCTCAACCTTCTTCATCACTGGTCTTTCTGATGAAATCTAGCTGCTGTGCTACAAGGTGCTCTCTGGACAAACTAGCGTGACACAGAACTGGAGTGTCTCTGGATTAAAGCCAATAAGGGCTTGAGGTCTTCCAGCAGCCACATGAATGACCTTGCAAGAGGACTCTCTGCAAGTTGAGCCATGAGTCAACTTCAGCCCCAGCTTGACTGTGGCCTTGTAAGAGGTATCACCTAGATCACTCAGCTATGCCATGTTAAGATGTCTGACCCACAGCGCTGAGATGATAAATGAGGACTGTTTAGGGGATGCTTTATTATGCAGAAAGTTGTAGTTAATGCTGCAAAATGAAACTTTGACTCTGGGAGTCACTGTACGCTGTGCAGCAACACCACAGTGCACTTACTCAAAGTAAAGCCTTATGAGGCTGACCTTCTAATATTGTGGACCTGCAGGGCAACTCTTTCTAGAAAGACATTTAAGTAGGCATTGAAGAACATCTCTTTCCCTTTGCTGCACTCCCCACCCCAACTCTCCAGTTAGACCGGATGTCAAAATATTCACCTATTTTCTGGCCACCCGCCTGCCCTCGCCATAGAGAAGAACTTGCTATTCTGTGGTAACTTCTTATGGGGTTGTGTCCAAAAAATTCAGATTTCTTGCCAGATGCAGCAACAGGAAAATCACAAGTTTAAGGCCAGACTGGGCTGCAAAGCAAGTAGGATAGACAGCCTGCACATCATAGCAATAGTGTGGTTCAGGAGGGGGGTGGAAGGATTTTATATATGCTCAGCGGTCTGCACACATGTCATCTTCATATAGTAAATACTTAGTGTGTTCTGGGTACTATGTGGGAGCTGAAACAGAGCAGGTAGCAGAGCCTACCTAAACTGTATTTTCCCTTGGAGTTAAAACAAACAAACAAGCAAGAAAGAGGGAGGGAGGGACAAAGGAAGGAAGAGAGGGAGGGAGGGAGGGAGGGAGGGAGGGAGGAAGGAAGGAAGGAAGGAAGGAAGGAAGGAAGGAAGGAAGGAAGGAAGGAAATCTCCCATCCTGTTGTTGTCAGATGTGTTCTTCCTTAAATCAGCATAATATGATATCAAAATGGTGCTAGGGCTAGCATCCCTAACTCCTCTCATTCATACGTGCTAACAAAAGAGAAATAGTTTTTCCTCCAAAATCAATGATTTCCCTCAGTGTTTAACTTGCTAACAAAAAGTACTTGATAAATGCATACAAGAGACAAGAGAGATAGTGTGGGGGAGGGGAGGCAAAATGATCAAAGCTGGTTGTAAACCTGTTTAAAGAATATATATATCAAGACATTTTAGCATACTTCATGAATATCTCAAAAGTAAAGAACATGTACTGCTCTAGCAGAGGACCTGAATGCAGTCCAAAAAGCCTCTATCAGGAAACTCATAACAGCCTTTAGCTCTACTTCCC